CTGCGCCCCCGGTCGGCGCTTCCCCAGCGCAGCTGGAGCCCGGGAAGGGAAGCGCACAGCCGGGGGTGCAGGGTCCAGAGGCGTGAGGGCTGCCTGAAGCCGGCAGCGCTCGGGCAGCTCGGCGCTTACAGAGCCCAGGAGTCAGGGAGCACAGCAGCCCCCGGCGCCCGCTCTAAGGTAAGCCAGGGGGTGTTTTTCCCGGACATGTTCGGCTTTTTGGAAATTCCCCCCGGACGGGGGTTTGATTACCCAAAAGCCGGACATGTCCGGGAAAAACCGGACATATGGTAACCCTATCATCTACCTAATAAAAGCAGAAACTGTCCTAATAAACTGTACCGTGCTTCAGTTTCTCCAGTTGATTTGGGGAGGACTAAACATCGTTTCAATTGTTTCAATCATCTAATTGACTCCGGGGCTGAGGTATAGATTTCCTGAGTGCAGGGCCCTTGGACAAAGGAGAGAGCTTTTCAGAATGGCCTGTCAGGAGGCAGCACACGGGGATAAAACACAGCTTGTGAGCAGCACAAGGGCTGGGCTGTGTGACGGGGAGGCTTTTGAGTCAATTTCACACGGGTGAAAGGTGCCAGATTGATGGTGTTTCTCCGCAAACCAGGCAGCTGCACTGTCTGCTATCCTCCCTCCCGCGGCTCCTACCTCACAGAGCACCTCCAGCACCTGTGCCAGCCAGTCCCCCTGCCCTGAGACCAGATCAACGACCACGCCCCCTAGAGAGAGGTGCCATATCCCGGTCCCCACCATATCCCAGCCAGTCTTCCCAATCTGGTGCCAGCTCAAAGCCCCATATCCCATTCCCCATCCCCTGAGCCAGCCAGCCCCTCCTCCAGGCACTGGATTGGAATTGGAGATCCCACGAGGAGAAAGACCCTGTGTCCCATTCCCCACTCCCAGAGCCAGCCAGTTCCCCCACCCTGGGGCTGGATCAGAGCTGGCATTCCCCCTGCCCGGGGCTGGATCACAGCCAGTGCCCATTAGAGGGGACAGGCCCCATGTCCCATTCCCTGCCCCCTTGAGTCAGCCAGTCCCCCACCCTGGGGCTGGATTGGAGCCAGCACCCCTTGATGGGAAAGGTCCCATTCCCCAGCCCCGTGATCCATCAGACATCCCATCACACCCTGCCTTTCATTTGCCTTTGCTGGATTCTTCTAGGCTGAGCCAACCGCCCATTTGCATAACATCAAAGCTGCTTTTTCCATTTGGCAGGACATATTCTGGGATCCGCTGCTCGGCTCAGGCCGCGGCTTTCAGTCCCGGCTAAACTGGTGATTGTGATTACCGGTAAATGCTGTAAAAATGCCCAGCTGCCTAAGACTTCGTCCCGCTCCCAGTGCAGCCGCTGCGGGGTGGGAGCAGGCCTTGCGGAGCGGAGAGCCCAGCCCCTGCCACGTAAGCTAAACAGGGGCCTGGGTCACGACTGCAGTGCCTAGGGGCTACCACAATACACCTAAAACCCCCCCAAAAAAATACAGCACCTGGCACAGTGTAGTCCTGGTCTGTGACTGGGGTGTCTCGGTGCTACCGTAATACACCTAACAGCAAAAAAATGTACAGCACCTGGCACAATGGAGTCCTGGTCTGTGACTGGGGTGTCTCGGTGCTACCGTAATACACCTAACAGCAAAAAAATGTACAGCACCTGGCACAGTATAGTCCTGGTCTGTGACTGGGGCTCCTAGGTTCTACCGTAATACACCTAACAGCAAAAAAATTACAGCACCTGGCACAATGGAGTCCTGGTCTGTGACTGGGGTGTCTCGGTGCTACCGTAATACACCTAACAGCAAAAAAATTACAGCACCTGGCACAATGGAGTCCTGGTCTGTGACTGGGGCTCCTAGGTTCTACCGCAATACACCTAATAGCAATAAAAAATGTACAGGGACTGTGGACTCCTGGTCCACGGCTGGGGCATCTAGGTGTTACCGTAACACACCTAATAGCATTAATATGTGCAGCACCGTGCACAGTGGACTCCTGGGCCATGACTAGGCATTACAGTATTACTAATAATAAATAAATAAATAAAACAAAGGATAATAATTATGATTAAACAAATAACTGTCTCAACTACATAAGAAACCATTTGGGTGGAGGTCCCTGGTTCCAACCCTAGCCAGGCGGGTAGTCACCAGCCGTCTTTTACTATTCACGGGCTGTTTTGGTGAAATGAGTCTGTGGGCCTCAGCTCGCAGCAAGCAAAGAATCAGGGGCCTAAACGGCCCTGGAGACTGAACTCTCAGATAAACAAACCATATCTCCGCCTGTCTGGGGCCGTCTATCTGACACCTTCCACCACTGCTAAATTATTAAAGCTCCGGCGCCCCGTTGTGCTGGGCGCTGCACAGACACAGAGTGAGCGACAGTCCCTGTCCCAAAGAGCACGCAATCTAAATAGACAAAGGCAGGGTTATTCTCCCCGTTTTACAGATGGGGAAACTGAGGCACGGTACGATTGAGTCACTTGTCCGGGATCACACAAGGAGTCAGTAGGGGAGTCAGGGATAGACCCTGGCTCTCCTGAGTCTCAGGCAAACAAGATCAGCCTTCCACTGCATTCACCTTTTGTTTTAAATTGTTGGGTTCCTTTAATTAATCACGGCAAGGTGGAAGCACCTGGAGACCTGCGCAGAGCCAATGGGTCTCCCACACAATCCACGCTGCAAAAACTCCCCCCTAAGCTTATTGTCCTAGCACTTGCTGTAAGCATATTCCTAGCGTGGATTTCATGGCTAATCTTATTTGCCAAAATACTCACAGCATAATCCAATCATCATAAATAAAGGCTCCAACGTCAGCCCCCCCCCCATTTCTATTGCTGGTGAGACACGTGCTCTTCTCTCCTCTCCCCGCCCCCCCAAACAAAAATCTCCACTGCTCTTGCCACCGTCCTAGCCAAATTCATGCAAAAGCAGCAGTGGGGGGGGG